AAGTAGCATTAAATATTTTACAATTATAATAGTTGGGCATATTTAAAAGAAGATAAGTGACATTTACATTTTATTAATAGTTAGCTTTATGCTTTTTTTTTAATGTCTCAATTTGTCACATACTTGGTCAGTCTAGAGGTTTAGCAAATAGTAGGGAGATTTTATGTCAAACGGCATAGATTAAAATGAGAAGTGAGATCATAATCAGCATGATTCATGACAAAAGACTGAATGTTGTCCCTCTGCTGTTTGTCTATAGCTGCTGCTTGTCTACCTGCTGATTCGAACAAACCTGAAAAGCCTGATGTAGGCACAGTTGGCATGTGTTGAAAGTTAGTCAAGCTCTGCTTAATGCAGTTAACGTCATAGCTTTGTGTAGAGATCCAGGGTTTATAACCCAGTTAATATACTTTAAGGCCATAGCCATTAAATAATAATAATGGCTTGCGCCATAGGTGATAATTTGTTTTATATATAAGTCTCAAGTAGATGCAAAGAATAAGTTTTACTTGATAGTGTTGATGGTTATTTGATGGGTGATGGTTACTTGATGGGTTCTCCACACAAAGGATTTGACGATTGGATTCCCTAAAAACCCCAGTCGCCGTTTAAAAGGGGGAGTATATAAGGTATTTCTCCAACCTTCTTGGCGACCCTTCGTGGTGCAGTGGTTTGTACACTGGTAGTGGTATTCCAGAGGTCCGCGGTTCGATTCCCGGCAAAGACGCTGTTAATTTTTTATCTTTCCTGCTTTCAAAAATACCTAATGTCTCTACAAGCCTTCCCAAACATTTTGGCTAGTTTATATCCATTTTCTTCTCTTTAATTATTGATCTTTTCTGACAATAATTATAAATTTGTCTCAATATGCAAACCAATGTTCTCGCTAGTTTCTGTCTGCTTTATCTCCTAACTTCTCCACAATGTACTATGAGGGTTTACTTGATCTAGTAAAAGTTAAATAGTCCCCCCCCGGTAGACGTGAAGCAAATTATTACTGTATCTGAAAGTAACTACAATATCAGACAAAGAACTTAGAATATAAAGGCATGTTTTGATGCTAACAAAGTCAATTACAGCTCACGGTGACGTAATTAAACGAGAACAGTCAAATTCAAACTAAAAATGTGGACTAGTGGTCAAAGATAATACAATTTAATTTAAATTTAATCTGGCTCAGTAACTCTATCATATGAGGAAACAGAAATGGTAAAGGCTGAAATGATAAACAATTGGGTAATTTACATAATAATAACCGCACATATCTTTGAAGAATAATTTTCTTTATGTATTCGGTTCCTTTCTTCAACGTGTTTACTTTTAATTTTAGAAATTTTGGACTTAATTAAGGATTTCTGTTATTCTAAAAAACACTAAATGCATTTAGAATGTACAGAAAAAGCGGCTAATTTTATTTCTATAGTATTATGAACATTCAGAAGAAATATGAAATATATATGGTAAAGGCCGGTTACAGAGCAGGTATGGCAGAATTTTTAGAATTTAGTGACACACAGAACAACAAAATCTAGAAATAGCAAAACTTTTAGAATTTAGAGTGGGCATTGGAAGCAAAATTTAGATAGGCAATAGGCAGCAGAATTTAGGATACACAGAGATTGCATCAGGTGGGAAAATGCATAGCACCAGCTCTGTGTACGATGCATTTAGACACATTGGATGAATCTTTTAAATTGTAAGTTTTCAATTTCTTTATTAATAAAAAAATCTCTTTTTATAATGCCTGCCCAAGTGATAAGATTAGAAGCATTTTTGATATTTTCCATGCTTTTGTCTAGTGAAAAGTAGAGAAAATAAAAGGAAGATAAACATGTTAAGAAAAAAGACTTTAGTATCAGGAGTAAAACATTCAAATATTATGTTTCCATTGTTCTTCCAGATGTTCTCCAAAACGTAAGAAATTCATCACAAACTTTCTGTAAAATGCATCCATTACGTGTTGATATGTTGATACCATGGAGACATTTTTCATTTTGTCACATATTTCACGAAATGTAAAATTAATTTTGTGGAGAAACTGATGCATATTCTGAGAATTATGAATAATCTGAGACAATTACATGGGAAAAACGCTTACTATGAAAATATTAAAAAGAAGACATTTTAATTAATTACATAGCTAATTTTGCTTTTATTAAGAGCTGTTTCGTAAATTATGCTTTATAGCTATATACCTTGTTTATTTTTGAGATTTAAAATATTGTATAATAAGTTGCCAAAATGAAATTCTATAATATGACAGCGAAGAATAAAAATTTTTTAATGTTATTTTTTAAATATGATTCTAATATATTACCATTATTTTAATGAAATTTATCAATGCTATGATGTTTTAAAAAAATCGCCGAAAAAATTCTCATATCTCGGAATTAAAAATTTTCTACAGAAAACTGATCTTAAAATCGCCAAAATGTTGATAAGTCGCCAAATTTAGAGCCGTTTTAATGAAAGAATTCACATACCCAAAAGCGAAAAGTTGTTTTAAGAGCTCTTTATTAGAAAAAGGGTAATGAATTTTCGAAATGCTTATGTTTCACTTCTTGCTTAGAAACTCGAGTATCCCATCATTTATATTAGAAATAGGAAACAAATTATAACCCATGAACATAATCACCCATTTCAAAAGATAACCCATATTTGTCAGCAAATCGCCAAAATTATTCCTCCTAAATGCTAATTCACACGTCAAAATGGGCAGTCATAAAAACAGACAGAAATTTCAGATGATTAAAATTAAGGACCTTCCACTGATTTTGACCAAAATTAAGGACTTTTAAGGACCAAAAATCGATTTCAAAAAATTTAAGGACTTTTAAGGACTCTTAAGGACCGTACGAACCCTGTTTAATTTCCCAACAGACATTTTTCAGAATATTCTTTCCCTTTCCAAAAGCCATATTTTGTGTCTCATCCTTATCCATGAAAAATTTTCAAGTAATAAGGAGTGGAAGCTCATTAAGCTCAAGTTTTATGAAATTAGAAGACCTTTCACATCTTTCACGAAGGTGACGTTTTTGTCACAGGAGACCGAAGCATGATCATAAGGTTAATACTGAGGCTTAAGAATCTTTTCTTCATTACAAAATATGATAGTACACTGTTTATTACACTTGTTTTGAAAGATTACATGAAAAGCAATCAGAAATTTCTAAAACTTTTACTGTGGGATGGCTGTTAGTTCTCGTTGTTTACAACATCAATATGTGATGTATATTACATCAATATGTAATATACATGATATACATGATGTGTATATAAATTATGTGCTGCATGGTTTAAATTTCATTATTTATTCAAATTCCCCCCCCTTCTTCCTTTCTGAAGACATTACCAGTTGACGCATGATACATCGCTGGTGTCCCCCATACTTTTACATGTACCTAATTCCCACACCAAATGGGAATCACAGAAAAGAGATGAAAATGTGACATAAGAGGAATTAAGGACCGTTTGTCAATCTTTATCAAAATTAAGGAGTTTTAAGAACTAAAAATCATTTCCAGAGAACCTAAGGTCTCTTAAGGACTTTCAAGAATCATGTAAATTCTATTTTAATGGCTGCCCAAACCCTGTCTACGCCTCATTAATGGGGGCACTATAGGTGACAATGTTCACAGTTAGTTAAGTTTAATCCCCGGATAGTTTTAAAAAAAATAGAACCCACATTAACAGAAAACACTAATAACAATTTAACTGTATTTTGAAGTAGAATGAGAATTAATTCATTTGGTTATGTGAATTAAATCAGAATAAAAGAGAGAGAGAAAAAAAAAAAAAAAAAAAAAAAAAAAAAAAAAAAAAAAAAAAAAACAACACACACTACTATGTAGCAAAAAAATAAATTATTATTAGATATGATGAAACTAAGCTAGAAATGGCATTTAAGAATAATAGTAAAATGCGAATTTAAACGTTGCGCTTTAACTCATATCAAAAAGTCAAAACTTTTTCTTTTCTGACCGAGTTCATCTAGTACATATCATCTATTATCACTGCTGTTATAGTACACATTTTTTTCTTCCTTTCTGTACTTTCAGTCAACAGTTATACTTCAAACTTTTGGTTTGTAGCAGTAACTTTTTTCCTTATTTCACAATAACAAATTTATCATTTAAAAAAAAAAAAAAAAAGCAGCCAAGGAAATCACAGCTGATTAATCTGCCCCTGGTCAATATAGAGTTGATCGCACATAATACAAAGCAATATAGCAAAAAAGACTGAGAAATATAAACTGAATGGGGGAAAAAAAAGCAACATTATCATTATTTTATGGTCAATAGCTCAATTTTAAGGACATAAAAACTTTACAATTTTTAATACAGTTAATATAGGGTTAGCACAAATGATTCACTCATTTTGAAAAGGCTATATTTTCAAAAGCATTAAGGGTACACACATGAAAAATATACGAAAAGAACCACAAACTCAGCAAGTTTTTTTCACCAAGTTTCCTGGATAAGTGGAATGTTGCTTCATTGCTAAATAATAACTTGGTGGCAAAATCTTTGTCCTCCAATGCTTCTTGCATGTTGACACACAAAATTTAGTTGATGGGCTTAATCCTCTGGCTTTAACTGTAGCAGGAGCTACATATGGTACAGTCTGAAGTGCAACCATTGATGCAAAATCTTCCACACAGTTTTTATGGTATCCCGAACATCTGGTCAACCGACAGGATGTGGACAACAATGCTACAAAATATATGGAATCAGCATGATTATCATCTGGATGTGTGTCATGACACCAAAGGGGCAGATATTGAATATTTGTAGAGGAGTATAAACTTCGTGAGTTGGTTCTTTTCATATATCTTAGATGTGTATACGTAAAATACTTTTGAAAATACAGCCTTTTCAAAACAAATAAATCATTTATGCCCCCCCCTGTATTATAAAAAATAAAATTAAAGCAGACCATCAGATTTCTATACAAAAGCAAGTTTTGTAAACAAAATTAATAATATAAGATTAATGGCATACCTCTACTGGTGGTCCACCCAATGATGCTTGTAAATCTAAATGTAAAAATTAAGCATTTTACAAATAAAACAACATGACCATAAATCTACATCATTTAAATACTTTATGTATAAAATAAACACATATGCATTAATAACCTGACATATAATATTTTATAAACATACTCTTATTAAACAATATAATTAAAATAAGCTTCAGATGGTTCCAAATCAGGCTGATAATATTTCCGTGAGACAATGGAACATCGATATGGCACAAATGTATGACTGTTCATCATGGAAAAAAACTAGGAAAAAGTCTTATGACATTAACATGTTAGCTTATCACTGTTCTTCAGCAAGCGAACACATGTAAAAGATTAAGTACACCTTAGAAGTACTATATTCTGTCTGGATGATAAAATTAGATACAAGTTTTGGTCTTTTAATACCTCATAAAAAAATCTGATATGGCCAACACATGACCCCTCTCACTGCCATTCTGCAAATTCCATTTCTTAACATAGAATTGGAGGAATAGCAACAAGGTTTAAGTAAATTATAACTTCCAGTTGATCATTTGTAAATAAAATCAAATTTGTTTGCAAACTTTATGGCTCATTATAAATTATAAACACTACTCACTTTTTCCTATTCAGTTCTTCCATATATAACAGACAATGGTACCTGTATGTGCTAAAATACACTTCTGTTCTCATACTTTAATTTGAAAATATCACACTGACAAGAAGTATATTAATCTTTTGGATATATAGTGTTTTCGATTCATGAATTACTACTTAAGAGTAATAGCATTTTTAAAAGCAGCATATCTTCAGAATTCCAAATATAGTATTAAGAGTTGCTACAACAATCACAAAATTTTTAAAAGCAGCACATCTTCAGAATTCCCCAATAGAGTATGAAGTGTTGCTACAGATTTCCTTTTCTGTCTTTTTTAAGTTTATGATATGTGTAGTTTTCTTCAAAAGGTGATCAAAGGTTTTATTCATCATTTTAGTTCCATTTATTAAATCTCACCTTCTTCACACTCACACCATATAAAATTCAACAATAAAATCACAAAAGTTTTAAAAATCAGCATATTTTAAAATTCCCAACAGAGTATTAATTGTTGCCAGATATTTTTCATATTTGCTAACATTTTTTTTAATAATACTTAGCGATAACATTTGGTGGCAGCATTCTTTCATTGAATGCATTCAAGTGACTTGACACGAAAGTGAAACGAACACAAAATTAAGGACAGGCTAATACATTTAATTATGGGCTCACCTTCAGAATAAGCTTATTCTTATTACATTTCCATATTTCCAAATGATTAACCTTTAATCCTGATAAATGTAATATGTTGTGCTCAATCACATACCTATTTTAAATACCAAATCTGAGACATTTTGGATATTATCATATTTTTTACAAAAAGTCTTTTCATAGCTTCAAGTAAAGTATCACTTCCAGTTTACCATTTTTAACTAAAATTTAATATGCTGTTCCCATTGATATAAAAATCTTATAATATTTAAATTTAAAAGTTTTTGTATTATATTTAATACAGCTTTCATTAAAAATACTATGGGCTTCAATCAAGTAGACAACTTCTGGTTGTCTACTTTTATCCAAAATCTAATCAACACTTTATATGAATGTCAAAAGCTTATATACAAAAAAATTAAATTTTTGGAAGTTTCATACATGAGTTATCATGAAAATGAAAAAAATCTGTCCACATATATAAATAAACATCATTGTAAGAAGGGAAAAAAAAAAAAAAAAAAAAAAAAAAAAAAAAAACTTGCTACTGAATTCTTGGGCCAAAAACATTACCTCCCTTACCTATGTTATATACGTTGGCAGGAAGTAAAAATAACTAAGTGCTCTTTTATTCTTCTTTCTCTTTAGTGGAGTAGTCAAGTTCATGCGCATTTCTTCAGCTCAAAGTACCCCTGGTGTAAAAAGGCCTTTAGGAGCTTCAAGTAAAATATAACTTCTGGTTGTCCAGTCTTACCCAAAATTTAACCCACACTTCATATGAATGTAGCAAGCTTAAATATGGAAAATTAAAAGTTTAAAATTTGTATTATTATTGACGAGAAAATTATAACACATATACACAGATGGACAGTCATTTTTGTAAAAATAGTAAAGCGTGTTGTGGGGACCCTAACTCATGCTTATTTACTAAAAACCCACCATGAAATTTTTGAACTGAAAAACACAAAAAACAGTACAGTACAAAGTCCGTAATCCGGACTCGTTGGGACTTCGACGATTCCGGATTATAGATCATGAATTTAAAACTGGTAAGATGGCATGCAGAAAATATGAAACTGTAATTTATGAAATAAAGAACAAATATTATCTAAAGAGTATCAAAATTTACAAAAAAAAAAAAAAAAAAAAAAAAAAAAAGCTTAATATATATTTGTTTACTTTATTAAACATTTCTTTCAATGTAAGTTGTTTAAGTTGCTTCATATTTTGTGCTAATACTTTCTCTTTAATTCTATAAACAGATATAATTTCTTGTTCAGTTACAAAGTTCCACTGTTAAAGTCCTGTAATTGCTGTCGAGAACACCGACTAACTTGTCAATAGAAATTTTTTCGTTTTCAATAACCTCTCCGTCACTTTCTTCACTATCGGATCCAGAAATGAGTCTAGAACCATACTACAGATTTCGCCATCCGTTAATTGATTGATGATTGGGACATTGTCGTCGCAATAAAAAACTTATGTTATATCATCTTCATTTATTACCGCTTCTCCACATTTCTTTATAAAATCCAATAACTGGAAAATTTTGCCTTTAGTTTGCGATGTCCGAAAACTTCCAAATTCGCTGCTATCATCTTCATCGTCCTCACTATGAAATATGGTAGCTGGCCATAAATTATGGCGAGCATTTTTTAACGTATCTGGAGACACATCCTCCCACGATCTTGTGATGCTCCACACAGCAAATTTAATGCTAAAAAATTTCAAAAAGTCTTGAATAGTCTTGCCATTGTTCAAGAAATTTAACATAGATTTAAAAAATGTTACTTTATATTTGCATTTCAGCGTGTGCACTATTCCCGTATCCAAAGGCTGAATGATAGGCCTACAGTTTGGAGAAAAGGATAACATGGATACATTATCTTTCACTAAAACTTTAAGTGTGGTATGCGCCGAACAGTTGTCAACAATCAAGACTATTTTTGAGTCATCAGGTAAACCAACCGAATTCAAATGTTGCTAAGACTCAGGTATAAAATGATTTTCAAACCAATCATTCATCAACGCTTGTATCATCCATGCTCTTTTATTTGCACTATATATAACGCGGAAAATCGTTACTCCTTTAAATGCTAAAGGTCGTGCATGTTTTCCGATTACGAAAAGTTTGCACTTGTGCATTTCTGCAGCATCTGCGCAAGCTAAAATTGTTAGTCTCGCTTTGGAATCTTTGACACCAGTTGGAGCCTTTTCTGTAGAGATTGCCAAGGTATTTCGCTGTACATATTGCCAGAAAAGACCAGTTTCATCAGAGTTGTAAATTTGTTCTGGAGATAATTGTTCACTAGTAATGAATTCAATGAATTCACCTGCAAATCGTTCAGCAGTTTCAGTATCAACTCGAGTTTCTTCAGCTGACATTTTTAATTGTCTTATACCATAGTGATTTTTAACCCTTTAACTGTCAAGTTATTTTGATGATTTGGATACACAAATTGTCAAATTTTTTTATTGGAAAAACCAATGTAGCCGAAATAAACATCTCCCGATATATATTCGGGTATGACAATACGATGCACTCAAAAAAAAATTACCCCGAGAAATACTCGGGCGTGACATTTTCGAACACCAGTGCTGTGCCCGAGATAATCTCGGGCATGACAGTTAAAAGGTTAAATTTGGCTAACCAACCTGTCGAATATGTACATTCAGTGTTTAAGTTCATTTCTTCATGAAATATTTTGGCTTGAGCCATTAGCTCATCAATGTCACGCCCTCGCTGCAATATTAGACTCGCTCGCAATACTAGACCCGTCAATGGCACGCCCTCGCTATGACTCTGTCTGACCCATTCAAATCATCACTTTGTCATGATCGTCATTTTTAGCATAACGAACCCTTTTTCTGTTATTCATTGCAAGTGGGGTGTCGGAATCGACCAAAAATTCCTTTTTCTTTTTGCTTATGTCATATACAGTTGACTTTCCAATGTCATTTCTCCTCGCATAATTTTGAGATGGATATGCCTTTATCCATTTTTTGCAGCAATTTCACTCTTTGTTTGATGGACATCGAAACATGCTTTCACTTTGTAGATCCTTTAGCAGCTCCAGAATTGGAAACCCTTTTCGACATAATCAAAAGTTCAAGCTTAATTTTTATAAAATTGCTTTAACAGTCTGCAAAAAATAATAAGCAGGATCTAATTAAAGGAAGATAAAGGAACAGCACAATCTGCAACATTAACTGAAATGCCTTAGAATCAGTAAAGATAATTTTAGCCTAGTTTATACCGTCCATTATACATTAAACATGCATGTGTAAACGCATTACGCGCATACGTAAAGGATACAAAAAAAAAAAGTTTGTGGCTTTGAGGTCCGGATTATAGATCATTTCGGATAATGGACGTTCGGATTACGAACTATTACTTGGAGGGGGGGGGGGAGGTAAAAGCTTGTTACATTTCATTAAACAGTTTTTTACCCACAATAGTGTAAGCGTTTTCTACATACTCTTACACTATACAATTAGTATAGTTTTTGTCATCTCTATACTCAATCAACTTTCTTCTTTGACTATATTTCTTTGTAATAGAAAATACTTTTTTTTATCAGGTACACAACTTTCTTAAAGATGAAGGAATTAACCATACAATATAAAAAATGCCTTGATTCAGGGCATATTTTGTCAATTTTCAAAAATCATCCATATCGATACACTGCATCAATCCACTGAAGTCCAGATATTTTAACTCATATATGAGTGTGAAGAACCAAGCCAGTGGATAAGTGCAGAAACCACAGCAACTATCGAGA